AGTCATGTTTGTGCAGGGAGCAGGCACAGTGCAACACAGAGCTGTAATTCTCCTGCTGAATAAAGTGCAGGGAATAAAAACCTAATTGATTATTTTAAATTTTCCTTCATTATATTCAGGTATATGTTTTACCTTTTGCTGTTTCTTTGCCTGCTTTGCATTAGCTGGGTCAACCATCTGATTCCAAAACTGAATTAGACAAAAAAACCCCACCCAGAGCTAAATCCACATTTCACCTCAATTTGTATGCATAGAATCATTTTACAACACTACAGTTACATTAAGAGGAGAATCTAGTCCTAATTTCAAAGTAAATTCTAAAATAATCTCTCTTAAACCATGTCCTCCTAGATTTAATAAATTAATTTTATTTCCTGTTTGCATTTTTTAAGGGCTAGTATCTCATTTAAACATTACAAACTGAATTTGGAAATATTCCATAATATTGATTACTGAATAGGAGCACGTTCTATGCTTTAGCAAATTTGTAGAAAGCTGCTTTAAAGTGTGGATTAATTGAAGTTCCCCCTCAGCCCAATATGGTCCTGAGTCCTTGGGCCAAGGAAATCAGACACTGAATTTTTTCAGCTGTGCTTTGTGCAGGATGTTTGTGAACATCCCACTGACTTTGCAGACCTGCAATACAGAACTGGCCCTGGCTATAAAAGAGCCACAGGGAGGCTGATGCTGATGAGAGCAGAATAAACTCAGACCTTGAGACCACAGGTTGTGGTGCTGCTGTGATAGAAGATTCTTTCATATGAATGGTGTGTGTGCAGTGATGGAAAAGCTCTGGAATAGCACTTTTGACTCTCTCTCGTTGGGATAAGTCACTCCATAAATGTCACCCTTTCCTTGGGAGTCCTTTTATTCATCTGTTACCTTTTCAAACTCCTGTGTTTGCTTCATTGTGTCTGACTTGTGCTGCTGCACTGGGTACTGGGTGTCCCTATTGACCCAGACCACAGCAATTCCCTCATCATCCCCACAGGGATAACCAGCCCTTGGGGGGCACAGCAGCACTTCCCCTGTGTCCTCGAGGTGCATTTACCAGCACACAGCTGCCAACAGGGTGCCATGCACGACCACAGCAGGAACATTTCCTCACTGCAGGAGTAGTTAAGCACTGGAACAGGCTCCCCAGGGAAGTAATGGAGTCACCATCCCTGGAAGGGTTCAAAAACAAGCAGATGTGGCACTTCATGATATGGTTTAGTAGGCATGGGGGTATTCAGTTGAAAGTTGGACTTGGTGATCTTGGAGGTATTTTCCAACATTAAGGATTCTAGGATTTGATGATTCTATTTGCAGAGCCTGCAGGAATTAACTTTCACTTCAGGAAGGAATTGAGGTTTCAGTGTGGGAGTGACAATAGAAGGAAAACCCTTGGTGCTGCTCTGAGCAGTCTCCTTTGAGGAGAGAATCCCTCCCCTGTCACAACACCCTGTGCACACCAGTGTGATTGTGCTTGTGCACCCAGCCTCATCCCTTGCAGAGCCACATTCATTTTTACTGGTGACAGCTCATCTCCAGCCACATTTCCAAAGGTGAAAAAGTGAGGAAGTTAGCATGTTTGCCAGGGAATGTGGGCACGTACCTGAAATATGGCAGTTTCCTTCAATGTAGCTTCTCCCAGGAGAACAGGGGCTTCAGCCTCATCCCTCATGGTATTGACATCCCCACATGCAGCTAAGGGGAGCATTTGTACCTCCCTGACATCACCTCTCTCAGGTTGCTTTCCTTATTGATGGTCTGGTTAAAGTCTCTGTATCATTTTGACATTTTTAATGGCATCTGCATTTACAGCAGAGCGCTCGTGTGAGCTTTAATCAGCTCTCTGTTCACACGTTGTTGCTGTTATTATTTATCTCTATTACAGTAACTCACTAAGGCAATCAACAAGAGCAGGATCAGACTGTGCTAGGCTGGGGCTGGGGTTTAAAATGGTCTCTCCAATTGGAGACCTTGCTGATGGTCCCAAAGTGCAGCAGGATCCTGTGGCTCTGAGCCTGCTCTACTCTCTGTCTCTGTCCCAGAACCTGGAGTCACTGTCATACACGAGACAAGATTTGCCCCACTGGTGTATAGTGGAAAAAATACCTTTTGGTTCTTTGTTTCTTCTGTTTTGTAATTCTCTACCAGGAGCTACTGGATCCCAGTCCTGTAGCCAGTTACACACTCAATTAGTCTCACACCTGAACGAGCCTGCTGTGCTAGTGGAGTTAATTGTATGAATAAGTACTTGGATTTTAGCTTATCATCCCTGTATCTACCTTGTAGATAGGTACAGAAGTGCCCACAGTGCAGATCTCAAGAGTTATCATTATATCATTATATAAATATCACATCATGTTCCAATGAAATGACTCCAGTCATTGGAGTCATTGGAGTCACTGCAATATGGGACTTAGAGGAAAGAGGAAAGAAAACCAACAAAAAAAACCACCAAGACAAGGAAGCAAACATGACCAAATACTGCTTGTAAATAAGTGTTCAAACAGGATGGACTTACAGAAAAGGAGCTGTGTTTGGGGCAGGCACTGTACAGTTGAAGCAAGATGCTTGAACTAATGATGGGAAATGGTTTTCCCTTCCTACAAATAGTTTTCTTTTTCCTTCACTTCCCTTCAAAGTGAAAAACACAAACCCAGCAGACAAATCGGATGCTTGGAGCACCCACCTGAGACATGAAAGAGCAAGGGTAGAATCGTATCTTGTAATGAGTGTTATTTATTCATATTAGGGAAATTAATTGCAACTGGAGCTGCATCAGCTCAGAAGAAGCCAGAGTCTGCAGCTGGGGCTCTGATGTGAGGTGTGGGAAGGCAGGAATCAATCCCCAGAGCACGCAGGGTGCAGTTTGATCCCTGAACTCCACTTTCCTGTGCTGAGGGACATCAGCTGTGCTTGTGTGGTTCAGGTTTGTGTTCTTTATGGAGGTGCAGAACTGCATCCCTTGATGTTCAAGTTGTGCAGAAAACAAATCAGTGTTTCTGGAATGGAAATTGCTGGGGAACTCCAGCAGCTCCAGCAGCTTTGCTCCCTGCCCCAGAAGGCTCACACAGCCTTAGCAAGTGTCTATGTGAAATAAAGATAGATCATCTCTTCCCACAGATTCTCAGTAATAATTTAAGTCTTATAAAGAGTAAGATTTTGTTTGCTTGGCTCCCAGTGGTGTTAGAGAGGAGCTATCATCCCTGTTTACAGCCGGGGGGAAGTGAGGCAAAGCAATAAACGAGCTGGGGTGAGGCACGAGTGGGATCGTGCACAGGGGGACATGGTGTGCTCTGCTCCCTGCAGGACATTAAACATCTGCATCCTCTAACACCCTGCAGATCTTTTGGAGACCTTGGAATTGTCTTCTGGGGGTTTATTTTGGCTTTTAACAACACAAATTTGTAAACTGATAATCAGCAGGGCAAATTAACTAAGAGCTGTCTTCTTTTTCTGCTGGATAGCCTTACACTGACCAGTGAGTATCCTCCTTCTCAAAATGAAGGATAATAAATAAAAATATTGCCAAAATTAATGGATAGAGGCAGTTTTCCAGTGTGAGTTTATAGCCAAGTACTGTAGAAGGAGAGGGCTATGAAATTTCTAGGACAAAAGCACCAGGCTTAAGTGAGCTTTACATTTACCTCGCTAATCCTGGAAACAGATCCAGGGCTGAGAGGCAGCCTGTGTCACCTGGGATTAGTTTCCATGTTTGCAAATAAAAGAGTTTGTGAAGACAGCCCTGTTGCTGGGATTCCACTCTCCTCTCCTGCCTGGCAGTGGGATTTACACCACTCGCAAGAGGGTTGGTGGTGAAATTGAAACCAGCTCTGAGCACAGCCATCTGTGCCTGGAAAGCCATCAGTAACTGTGTCCTTCCCAGTAGCCTGTTCTGAATAGGATGAGGATTTTCTTCACCCTTGCCACAGCTATGGTGAAAGGCTGCTAAGTAGAGGGTAGGGCTGCTGAAGAAATCCTTGTTTTCCTGCAGATGTTTTGCTGAGGAAACCTTGACCTGAGGTGTTTACTTGAGCTCTGTTCAGTGCATGCAGCTCAAAGAGGTGTTGTACAGGTGCTGTTTCAAGAGCAAATCAGGAGAAACTGTTCCTGTAGGGCTGACTTCCCCCTCCCATCTTCCACATGCTCTTCAAAAGAGAAGGGATCAGGCAGGATGGTCACATGAGGGGTCTCCTGTGCCTTAATGCATTCCATAGGGAACCTCCTCTCCATGTCAGTGGCCAGAGGGTTTGGGGTCCTTCTGTGTTGCTGTTATTAGCACAGGAATTACCTGATATATTCACTCCATACCTTCATCCCTGAGCCTGGGCAGCCTCAGGACGTCCTGTCTCCAATGCTATTTTATTTCCTTACATCTATTTAGTCAAGACAACAAAAGTAAATAAATAAATAAATCAGAAAACAACACCAAGGAGAAAGCTTTCTTTAGATTATCTTGTATGTTATCTTATGGGAACATAACAAAGAAACAATATTTGATGACATGATAAATCGACAGGATTTGCTTGGCAACACCACCTGCCATTAAGTGCACTGCAGGCAGGATGCGACCCTCTGCATCTAGTTCCACTATAAATTCATCCCTTCCAGCAATCTAAAAGCACTAAGAAACAGGATATTAAAAGATTTCAGGCCTGATCCAATAAGGTGTTAAGTCCTCAACTTTCGGTATAAAAGTGGTCCCATTGTGTCCTTGCACCCTAAAGCTGGGTTGGGGGGGAAGATCCTGAATCTGGGTCTGGGGGAAGATGCTGAACCTGGGTTTGGGTGGGGGAGAAGATGCTGAAGCTGGGTCTGGGGGAGGATGCTGAAGCTGGGTCTGGGGGAGGATGCTGAAGCTGGGGCGGGGGCGGGCAGATGTTAAAGCCGGGTCGGGGGTCAGTTTGGGAGCGGGGGCTCCTTTGGAAGGCTCTGGCCGAGGTGCACACGGGGCTGTGGGGTGAGGCAGCCCCGTGTGCCCGCGTGGGTAACTCCGTGTCCATTCGCAGGCTGTGACAGCGAGCACTGGGGGCCCCACTGCAGCAACCGCTGCCAGTGCCAGAACGAAGCGCTCTGCAACCCCATCACGGGCGCCTGCGTGTGCGCCGACGGCTTCCGCGGCTGGCGCTGCGAGGAGCTCTGCGAGCCGGGCACCTACGGCAAGGGCTGCCACTTCCAGTGCCAGTGCCACCACGGGGCCACCTGCGACCACCAGACCGGCGAGTGCCACTGCGCGCCCGGGTACACCGGCGTGTTGTAAGTGCAGCAGCAGCGCGCTGGGACTGCCTTGAACTGGTTTGGGTCGGCCGCGTTTAACAGGAGGAATAATTGGCTGAATTTACACCCTGTTATAAACCGGCCTTTGTAGAAATCAGGGAATGGGATTTCAGAGAGAATGAATAAAGGGAATTTCTGTTCTTGCTGCTGGTTATACCTGTGTCCCTGAAGGGAGCCTTCAAGAGAGCTGGAGAGGGACTTAGGACAAGGGTGTGTAGCGGTAGAACAAAGGGTGATGGCTTTAAATAGGGATAAATGGGATATTGGAAAGGATTTCTTCCCTGTGAGGGTGGGGAGGCCCTGACACAGGGTGCCCAGAGAAGCTGGGGCTGCCCCTGGATCCCTGGAAGTGTCCAAAGCCGGGTTGGTTGGGATTCAGAGCACCCTGGGACAGAGGAAAGTGTCCCTGCCCACGGCAGGGAGCTGGATCTGGCTTCAATGTCTCTTCCAACCCAAACCATTCTGGAGTTCTATGATGCCATGCTATTAAAATAAAACATAGTGCTAAAATAAGCTTAAACATAATTTATATGTTCTAACTTGTGCAACAACTCTACCTGTTCCTAATTTCAGAATGTGAATACAATCCAAATTACGGTGGAGTTTTGATAAGCACTTGGACTCTCTCCTCATTAGCAGTCCAGTGCAGCATCAAATGGGACTTTTCCATCCCCAATTTATTTGACTTTCAATCTAACTGAGAAAGCGTTGCTGTTAACTATATCAGCTTAGTATCTAGGGGGTAAATTTTAAGCACAGAGAGCGGGGATTTAGCGGTGTGACTCCTATTAACTTTAACGAGAATCATGTAGCTAAATCCCCATCCACCACACGGAAAGTTTACCAGTAGGATTCACAAAATCTGCATATTAATTTTAGGACAGCAAGCAATAGTTTCTTGTTTAAAATTGCCCACAGTGTAACATCAGTTCTCATTAGAGATCTTTCAGTAGCTTCAGAAGTAATTATGTTTTTCAGAATTATTTAAGGGGAAAAGAGAATTTAGTCACTGAATTTGGTTGGAGATCTATTGTAGGTGAGTTAATACTTTTGCAGTCTATTATTATTTGTTAGCCTGCATGAAGGGGAAGGTAAAAAATAAGGACAGAGTTAACCCTCATAAATAAGTAATAGGCCTTGTGAATATTTTATTTAGTACCTGATTTCCTCCTAGACTTGTGACCTCAGTTGTGGAAGCACTCACTGCTAAGGACTCTGCTTACTCTTGGGAGTGCTCCCTTGACATCAGCGTGTCAGTTCTCAGCAGGGCCAACCCCTGATGTTGTAGGAACATCCTCATCAGAGGACAGTCAGCTGGGGGACAACATCCTGTAGTTTCAGAACCTCGATGCTGAAAGCTCTGATGTGCAGATGTAGGAGACACTGGGTTTTGCAGGGATTACTCCCACATTGCCCCCCATGAGTACTGAGGGAGCCTCAATGAGCTTAAATAGCCTTTAAATGATGTTGAGTCCTTGCCAGTCCATTATGCACTGCAAATGTTAACATTCAGCAGTGACTGGAGGAATTTCAAGTGTTTTAATCCCATCCTTTTATTCTGTTTGCAGCTTCTTTTAGTGCCATGTCATATAATTCATGTTGAAGGCTTCATCCTGCAACTCATCTTTTCCTGGGCTATTTTAATGGTTATGGGTTGTCCTGTTGAGATGGGTGGGATTTGGTACATGCAGAAAGGTTACACACATGCATCAGCCTTACAGGGCTGGATCCATGGCACATAAACACCCCAGCAGAAATAAAAGGAATCTCAGCTAATTGGCAGTGCCAGCTGAGCCTTACTGAGGTTTCATCATTTGCATGATGACTCCCATGATGACCTGTGTTGTGTGTTTTCCTCATATGCTGTTCCCTGTAAGTCCTCTGAGCTGATGTCTCTGTTTCCTGTTGTTCTCTCTCCCCAAAGCTGCGAGGAGCTGTGTCCCCCCGGCAGCCACGGAGCGCAGTGTGAGCTGCGCTGCCCCTGCCAGAACGGGGGAGTTTGTCACCACATCACTGGGGAGTGCTCCTGTCCTGCTGGATGGATGGTGGGTACTGCTGCTCCTCACTCAGGGCCTGGATGTTCATTGTTCACTGTCTCAGCTGATGTGTGCCAGCCAGGCTCTAACAGTTCCCAAAGTGGAACCACATTTGCTGGGTGTGCACAGCACCTGCACAGACAGGCCACCACTTTGCGACCTGCCACCTTCCCTGGAAGTGTTCCAGAAACATGTGGGTGTGGCACCTGGGGACAGGGGTTAGTGGTGGGCTTGGCAGTGCAGGGGGGAATGGTTGGACCTGATCATCTTGGGGTCTTTTCCAGCCTCGGTGGTTGTGTGATTCTCTGACTGGTACATGCCATCACAGAGTTTAAAAACAACAGACAAGAGAGTTATCTGTGAGTTCCAGTTCCTTGGAATATTCCCTGCAGCCTTAGACAGTGCCCTGGCACAGGACAGAAAGCTCAAAGCCCAGCTCAGCACTGTCAGAGGCACAAAGTGTCCTGTTCCCCCTCAGGGAGAGTGGGAAGCCAGGGGGAATCCGAGGCTCAGGCAGGCAGCAGAGCTGAGCCCAGGGCACAGTTCAGTGTCGTGTCCTTGCCCGGGCACCACTGCCATTGATTGCCAGAGATTTGCTTGTGTCAGGACTTGCACTGCAGAGAGACAGCTGCCCTAACCTTTAATCCTTTGTGTCAGGAAAGCAATGCCAAGCATTTTCAAAGTCCTCAACTTTATCAATAATGTAATAATGAACTCTCTTGGGGCATGCCAAGTCTCACAGGCCTTCATCCCATTTAGCTGTACTAAACTTCCTGGCACTTTTCCTGTATCTGACAATTAGTCTCTTGGCAAAGTTGCTGGATTTTAAAGCATGCAAGTACTCTGAACTTTTTATTTTTACATGGAAAGCCCTGCAGATCATCACACAACTGTGACTTCTAAAGGGGACCCTCTACCTGTTCAAACATACAAAAGCTGAGAGAGGTTTGTGTTCCTTTCCATTTATACATCAACTGCTTTGGGTTCAGAAGTACCACCTCTGAGATGCTGCTGTACATCAGCAACAATATTCTGTAGGAGAACATTGCTGTCCTTAATTTTTGGTGGAAAATATCTCTAACTAGAGAGCTGGAATCTCTCTAACACCACCCATCATGGCAAGGGTGCTGATGAGGTTATTCCATTTCAAATGACAAAGGCAAAACTTGTCAGAAGTATGAATATGGCCCCTTGCCCTCACCTGGCAATCAGTGGTGGCAAAGAAAAGATTCTTTCCTTGAGTGCTGGAGCATTAGGAAAGCAATTCACATATTTCTGAGGGCCTATCAGTCCATTCTGGCACTAACTTCTAAGAAGTAATCAATAAAGTGATTCACATAAAAATATTACTTTTTTCAACTCTCCTCCTGCATGCCAAGATTTCTCAGGTGTTTTGCTGTATTCTTCCTTACTTGTATTTTATCAGGAGTTTTCCTTTTCAAAATTAAAACATCACAAAACAAATAAGAATATCAGAATAGAAGAGGAATTTTTAGATGTCTTTTAGGATGCAGCACAGACCTTAAGAAGAACCAGAGCACTGCACAGCAGCTGTGGTTGTATTCTGGCTCAGTCCTGCCCAATTCCTTACAGCCTGGAGTTCTTTTATGCATTTTTAGGAGCCCAGAGAGACTTTTTTGAAAACTGTGTTGTTGGCTGCTCTGTCCCTGGAGGAACCCTAGAGTTAACAATTGATGTTTCAAACAAGCATAACTGAAAATTGAAGAGAAAGATCAAGTATTCTGCAGAAAGAAACTGAAATTATAAGTAAAAGCACTCAGCTTGTAAATGTTGAGATTTTAAGTATAAAGAGTCTCTCCAGAGTTTTAATGAAAAGCTGGTAATTCAGTGTACAGAGAGGGATAGCAAGTGTCTTTTCATGCTATATTTTTAACTCTTGGTGGTTGGAATGGTTTGGGAAGTGAGACATGAGGGGGCTGTAAAGGAGCAGGCGAGATGGGATTGCTAGACAGCATTCATTTTATTTCACACCACGGATTTCTGTGACACCAGGAATTTTACTTGCTGATTTTGAGGCTTGAGACTGCACATATATATATTGAATATACCATCATTTTGGAAGGAGAGAATTCTCCCTAGATTTATACAAGTGCAAATCCACTTGGACTTTATTGCTGCTGGATGAGCTGCAACTTTTATCCTTTCCTAGGTTGGCTTATTAACAGGAGCTCAGCTCCCTTGGGGTTTGGTGGGATGGAGAAGGGGAGGCAGTGACTTTAAAAGGAGGAAGTTCTGGGGTTCTGAGGTTCTTCCTTGGATCTGCCATCTTCAGAGCCTGGTTCTTTTATGGCTTGTAATTTCTTTCCTCCCACCAGTGCTGAATCTCTCAGCATCAGGAGTTCTCTGGATGGTGTCCTGTGGGACTTTACTGCCCCATGGGTTCTTCACCAGGAGGATGATGGCCAACAGCCTCTATTGTTGAACAGTCAACAGAACGTGGCTTCCAGCATCCCACAGTGTTGGGCTTTTTCCACTTCTGTGCCTTGGTGGCTGTGGAGTTTAGTACGTGGCTGCTTTAGGGCCTCATTAACAATTTACAGGTTTAATTCTATACATCTTTCTCATTTGCAATATTAAATTCTCCAAGCGCTCTCAGGAAGTGGGGAGAGAAGTTAATTTAGCATTTACAATGCTTCTCAGAAGCCCTTTTGAAGGACTAGATCTCTGTGCTCTGGAAAGCAGCAATATTTCATGATGTGACAGAATGTTTGTCACTGGCAATGCCCCCTGTTTGGCCCCAGACCCCCTTCCCAAGGCACGGTGGTGCTGTGGTAATACAGCACATTCTGCTCATCACTTCTCTCCTATTGATTCTGGCCATTGTGAAGCATCATTTGTATTTTTGTCTATTTTTCTTTCTGTTGTAGATTTTAAACGTGGGGGTGTCTGAGAAAATGGAGGAGAAAAAAAATCTTTTCTGTCCTACAAAACACAGCAAACAATGTCAAAAGCAGAAGCTGATGGGATCAGGGCCTTAAAAAAGGTGCTGATGGGGTGAACATTGCTGATTAGATGTATAAGCAGCAGGAAATGTTGGTCTGACATTTGATCCTCTAGAGAGGGATGTTTTGAATTCCCTTAGTACATATTAATGCAAAAAATACAGCTAAAGATTCTCTTGGCTCCGGGGGTATGCATCCCAGAGTATTGCTTTCTCATCATTTGTTGATAGAAATCCTGTTCCTTTTGAGACATGAAGGGAGAAAGTATTTATTATCAAGACAAATGGACACTTAGGTTTTCAGATATATAGTGTTGTGTATTACTCAAGTCCAGAGACACCAGTTTTTAACTCTGTAATCTGAAAGTTCTTGAACTGAGGCCAACCTGTCTGTTTTACAGCCAAGGAGCCACATAGCCCTGGTTGGGAAAGGCTCAAAGTATCTGTTTTATGGTGACATTGAAGAGCAGCCTCTTCACTTTGTGGCTGTTGATACAGCTAAACTTCCCAAGCCCTGAGGAGTGAAAGCAGCCATTATATTCCTGGTTTATATTTTGAATAAGTTGTGTCTCATACATGCTTTGTTCAAAACCCAGAGGCCCCAGGGCTTGGTTAGGGAAACAAGGAAATTAAACCCAAATAATCCTGTGGCCAGACACTGTTTCTGTCTCACACTGGGCACTGTGGTGGCACTGGCAGCAGCACCACTTGCTGCAGATGCCAAACATTTTCCATTATAGGACCACAACTTCAGAGCCCAGCACTGCCAGACTTGTTTTGGCTGAAGTTCCTCAGTTGGATGCCAGCCTCAGGCTTTATATTTGCTCACAGGGAGAAAAACATTCATACAACTTCTAAGAAAGTCTGGGGAAATCCTTGTAAGGCCTTGGTACTTGGCAGGAACATTATGGGATACCTGGGGGAAACCACGTGAGACTGGCAGCTGTCTTTCTCCAAAGACACAACCCCACACAAGGGTGAGCATTCCCTGCCCTGGGGCTGAGCAGCTGGAGCAGGGATTACCTGGGAGCTGCTTTACTTGTGAGCAGTGCCAGGGGCACAGCAGGGACAGTCTGGCTTTGCTTCACTCCCAGAGCTGGTTAAGCAGGGAGGGGAAGGAGGAAACATCTCAGAGATGAGCATTTGGATCTGGGTGGAGGAGAAGATTAAAAGGGAGGCCGCAGCAGGGATTTGGAATAGACTGGAATAAAGAGGTAGGAAAGCAGAGAACTGGGAGCATAAAATGGGATGTGGAGTTGAGGCAAGTCAGGGACTGAGGTGTGGCTCCAGGGTTGGGGATAAGGAGCTGGGAGGATGCTGGATGCTGCGTCCTGTCACTGTTTAGGGATTAGGTAGATATTCCAGCGCAAAATTCCTGTGGCTTTCCCAAAACTCTGGCTGATCCATTCTGTGCTGCTTTGAGAGATGGATGTGTGGCTGGAGAGAGCAGAGGGAGCAGAGTGAAGGGTGTGAAGGGCAGTAGAGGAGTCTCCAGCCTCCAGCTGAGTTGGATGAATGAGACTGACTGAACAGGAGAGATCATCACAGACCATCAAAACCAGCACAGCTACACCCTCCCAGTGCAAACCTTCCAACAATCCCTTCCTTCCCAAACCTTCTCTGTGCAGCAGGTAGCCAACAGTTTTTCACACTCCCCATTTCACAGAAAAACCCAGGAGCACACAAGCAGCTTTGTAGACTTCTCTGGTTGCCTTCAACTTCTCCCACATCTTCATGTGGCTGTTCAAGGGCAGTGCAAGCCCAGCTGCAGTTTGTGGGGGAGATCCAAGGAAGAGAATTATCCATGAGTGTGCAGTGGTGAGAAAAATCCCTTCTGGAGTCAGGCCAGGCAGGCATTTACTGTGGTAGCAGAGTTTTCAGACTGTCTTTAGCACATCTTATGCAGATAAAATATTGCTGCTACACTTACATCTAGTTTTAGCAAGAAGGACAATAAAATTCCAAGCTGCATAGATAAATTTATTGCATTATGAATGTTGACTGAAATATTGCTCTTTCTACAACCTTACCAGGGGCTGGTGTGTGCACAGCCTTGTCCTCCTGGAACCTTTGGAATTAACTGCAGCCAGGACTGTCCATGCCACAACGGAGGGCACTGTGACCCTGTGACAGGAAAATGCCTGTGTACAGCTGGCTATATAGGAGACAGGTAAAAATCAACCCCCAAAGCCTTTCATTTTAACCATGGACTGTCAATATTTATGTCCCTTCTAGGACAATCTTCCTCCCTGAAAAATGTTGTTATGTTTCTATTGCTCCAATTAGGTTCATCCTTCTGAAGCACTTCAAGCAATATAAATGTGGCAATGTTATTACTTTTTATTGGCAATGCTCTCCATTTACAGGGGTTTTTAATATAACTTTTAAAATTTAATGGATTAAATTTAATTTAGATATTTACAGTGATAAATTTAATAGAGAGCATTACATGTTTACAAGATATGTAAATGAACTATCTTTATACAAATTAATATCCTCAAGAGTAAGCAATGCTGCAGTTTAATGTCTCCTTCATTCTTCTGTGCTGCTGTAGCACTGATCCATCTCAGCCACCAGCAAAAGGTGATAAATCCTCAAAATTTATAAACGAGAGCCTTCACCCATGAATCGATCAGAGCAGATGATAATATTGTTTTACCAAGGTGTCAGGGATTCAGCAAAATGACTACACAGCAAAGTCAATGAGGGATTGCAGCACGTGCTGGCTTAGCCTGCAGCTAATCCTGGATAACAAAGGTTGGGAAGTGCAGTTAAAGCAGCTCTCAGGAGCACTTTGCATGGGGCCTGTGGCACCAGGGTTTGCAGGGATGCACGGCTCACCAGTGGATGTTGTGCTAAAGCACTTTCTCCTCTCTGTTCCCTTTTTTAATAGCTCTATACTGACATATGCTACAATTATATTTTTATGCAACAAAGCTCATTGGAATTTCTCATTTCTGCCCTCACTGAATAATCAGCAGGTCGTTGGAGCACAAACATCCAACCCTCAGCCCTGTGGGTGGGTCAGAAGGCTGCTCCTTCCCATTACACATGGAGCTTCCCTGTTCCCATTTTATGGACAGTTATAATTGGAGGGGGCTCAGGATTTGCATGGGGTTGAATATGGAGGAAATACTAATTATTTCCAAGTAATTTAGAGGAGAAGACATCAGTGTGCCTCTCTTCCCCATTCTCCATCTGGAGACTGTTTCCAGACATGTGGTACCATATAATTCCTGTTTCTCTTTCTCTCTTTGTGGAGACTTTTCCACTGAAGGAGGCAGCTGTGCAGCCTGGGCCTTTGTAGTGAGGACCACACTTGAATCCTAAGCTGCTCCCAGTGCTGGCCATGCTGGGGGGGGCTGACAGAGCCTCTCTTGCTCTCCTCATTTGGTTGTTGCCCACCCTGATGGATTCCTGGCTGTAGATGGATCAATCCAATCAAGTGCTGGGAGCTCCCAGCCAGCAGCCTGCATCCTGTTGGGGATGAGGAAAGGAGATGGGAAGAGGATTTTACTGCTGATTGCCCTTGGAGAAGGCAACTCAGGGAAGACATGGCAGGAGCTCACAGGGGTTTTCCTTGAGCCAAGGGAGTGTGTACTCATGAGGTCTGTGCTTGGAGAAAAGTGAGAGAAATTCAGACTCCAAAGAGAGATGTAACTTGGGAAGGGAGAAAGTAAGAAAAATAAGGCAGAATCAGTTGGGAGAAGTAGAAAAGAAGTGAGGGAAGGTCACATTCTGGACCTGCATCCAAGAAAAACCCTTGGGAATGGCTTACCTTCCCCATCCCAGAGCAGGGAAGTAAAAGACACTGAGAGAAGAGGCAGGAGAGCAGAAATGCAGGTGTGTGAAAGGATGAATGAGAACAAGGTTGAAAAGGTAAACAGGCAGTTAGGAAAGCTCTGCTGCAGCAGGGTAAAACTGGATTAGCCTAGAAATTCCCACCTTTCCAACGGGTTCCTGGAAAGTTAGAACATGTTCATCTCTCAGCCTTTAATCCCCCTTCCATGAGGGAGGGGAAACCTCAGGCCTGTTGTAACCATCTGCAGTTGTGCAGCTCCCTTGGGCTGGGCAGCCCTGGTTTGTGCTGGTTGTACTGGTTTGTTCTGAGCACACAGCTGCCTCACCTGCCTGGGGGCCCACTGATTTCAGTGGGGGATGAGGTCTTCAAAGGGTCTGAGTGGCTTTCCTTGGTTTTGTGTTCGCACCACAGGGACAATGGGACAGACCAGGCAGCTTCAGCTTAGCTCAGAGTTTGTTTTACCCTGCATCTCCTGCAGCTGTTGCACTGTCACAGCAAAAAGGAGAGCAGGAGAATCTGCTGCACAACAAAACACTGCCTGCTTTAACGTTTTACAAGGCATTGAAAAAAATCTTAATGATGATAGATACTGTGAATAACAGCAATAAAGACATAAATACATTTTACCTACTACCATCTTAAAATTGTCAATAACTACTATATAATGCTACAGTTCATCATCATGTGCAGAAGATAATAACACACAGTTAGATAAATATCTGTGGAGATGAAATGGTCATAAAGGTCTGCGTGAGTGTAATTGCCACACTTTTGTTCCCTACCTGTTTTCCAAGAGTGGCACTGCACTAAATCTCTGGGAAATTGGCAGCACTGTTAATAACTGCAGGATGCTTTGTGTTCACTGAAATGACTGGATCTGTCATGGAAATGTGTGTTTTACAAACTGGAAAGGAATAATAGCAGAGGCACAGTTAGAAACTGAGAATGGAGTCTTTCAGAATTGAGTGGCTCACAGGAAAAGTGAACATGCTGGTTTAGCTTTGTTTTCCATATTGCCCTTAAATCGAAAGATTGAATCTTAACAGAATAAATCTCACATTTATTAGAACTGTATGGGGAGATTTACTCTCCTGTTGTTGTGTTTGTACACGTATCTCTTATCTCCAGGTTAGTGCATTTTGGATGGCTTTTCATATTTGTCTGTGCTACATAAACGTGATCACTGTTTCAAAATAAACAGGACAACCTAAAAAACTTTGCAGCATTATTCCTTAAAAAAAGAAAATTGTGGGGAAAAGTGTAGGAGCCTATACTAAGTTCATCTGTTAAGCATGCTGTCTTCTGTTTAATATTTTGTGAAATTGCTTCCATTAATTCCACAGGTGACAGCCATATTATCCTATCCCAACCCAAATAATTATGGTACATATTAAAGTTCAGTGGATATTATAATACGAATCTCCCCAGATAGGCAGAAAGCAATGTAAATTAAACAAGAAACATAACTAGGGCTTAGCAGCTCATTTTGTAATTTAATTGAACAATGTATCTGGTTGTTAATGGTGCTATGGACACATTAGATTGATATGTTGCAAAGGAAAGATGTTTAAGTAGAAAGCTAATTCCTGCTGTGATTATTCTCATGTTCCAGAGGAGTCATTATTAGTATTCTTTGTATAAAATTCATTAGCGGTAGCTGCTTGATCTCCAAATAAATAAGTTGGTTAAATTGTTAGTAGAAAAAGGCTAATTATGTAAATGGATTAGGTCGTCAATATTTCATTTCCAGATGCTTTTCTCCCTGCTAGGTAATGCTTCATCTTCCATAAATATAGAATGATACAGTGCACTATTGACTAAGAATTCACCCTGTGGAGCTCAGAGCTCTCCTGCTCACTCGGGGTCTGTGCAGCAGTGGGGACATGAGGAGCTTCATTGTTCCTCCTTGCATTTCATTTGCTGGGAGTGTTTCAGCCCCACTGTTCCCATTCTTTGCTGGCTCTTTCCTTTGCAGCTGAACCCCCTGAGAGCAGCAGGGCTCTCTCTCTCTCTGGTGCCTCTCCAGACTCTTTCCCTCTTTGTCCCAAGCTCCTCTCACTTTGGGTCTCATATGAACTCCTCAACTCGGATTTGCAGCCAGCAGCTGCGTCGGTGCCTGCTGGAATTAAATCACCAGCCAGGCCCTTTGCTGTGTTCATTTATTTTTAGTAAAACGTGATAATCTGAAGCTGCAAAAGTAATGCCCTTCTTATATACTGCCTGTGTTCATTGCAGTTTTGCCTGGCTTGCATCACACATTAATCTTTTATTACTGATCATTATATTAACTCTCACCTGCCAGCTGTGAAATGACCTGCAGAAAGACATTTAACAATTGCCTCCATCCACTGAGTTTACAGTATACACTTTAATCAATGCTCAGGCTTAAATTAATGCTGATAGGCAATTTCCAATGCCTGGCATCCATGTGATAAGGGAATTGGGCTTTTCTGGGCTTCTTTTTCTGTTTTTATTAACTGAAAAGGCCTATCTGTATTTCACGGTGGATCATGTAAACTGTGGTACTGACTCATTGCAGAATTCTGAAACCACTGAATTATGTCAAGCACACAATCAGTTGCTTTCTTCAGGAACTTAGCTGAGCTTTTCCAAGGAGGAAATAATCTGAACTCTTAAATTGATTGTGTAGGACAAGGAAACAGACTTTTTGGCAGATCTCAGAACGTATCCAAGTAGGGAGATATTTTTAACAGTGCATGGAAGGTGCAATTTAAAACAATCTGTGTAAAGGGTTTGCAGGTTCCAATTTTATGTGCATCAAATATTAAAAATGTTGGCAATTTTTAAGAAGATTCCCCATTAAGGAGCATGAAAGTAATTTTTATGGAGATTTTATACTACTGAGCTACTCTGGAGTAGGAGAAGGAAAGCAAATTTAAGCTTTTAGTTACTCAGAACACACACAAAACACAAAGGGGTTTCTTGTCTCCTTGTTGGTATAAAACTCATGCAATGTCAACAAAGAGGGCAAGTAAAACTAAAACATTGCTGCAGAACATTTTGCTCAATATTGTTAAATACACTTTCCCTTTTAACCCTCCTCATCACTGAGAGGGCCATGTCCTTTCAAGGGAGGTGCACAGTCCTCCTGTGATAAAGAGAAGTAAAACAGGTGAGGGGTTTTATAATAAATATTTTATTGCCTATCAGTTTCTTTCAATTGATGAACACAATTGTCAAGGTCCAAGAAAGAAGAATGCATTTTGTGAATGAAGGTAATATGAACTATTACAAATTTAGCAGGATATAATTGGGCATGGATGAATGCAGCTTCTCTCAGCAGCAATTTGCATGGCCAAGATATCCCATCACTCCAGTGATACCATCAGTTCAGTGTTACTTCAGTAAATGAGCAGGGTTTGCTCTGGTTGGTATTTAATTCATTAACAAAGAGGTTCCTGTGTAAAAGCAATGTCCTGCTGAGGTTGTGGATGTAACTGGTCCCATGTCCCATGCCATGGCAGGTGCCAGGAGGAGTGTCCCATCGGCACCTACGGCTTCCAGTGCGCGCAGACCTGCGCCTGCCAGAACGGGGCCAAGTGCTACCACGTCAACGGCGCCTGCATCTGTGACCCTGGCTTCAAAGGCATCCACTGCCAGGAAAGAATGTGTCCTGAAGGGTTCTATGGCCTCAAGTGCAACAAGAAATGCCCCTGCAATATTACCAACACCCTCAGGTATGTATATCGTAATATTCTAGTGCAGGGACTGGGACAGTAAAAACATGGGGAAAAAATCCAGCTAACTACACCTACTGTCTTTTTCTCTGTAGTTTTAAGTACAAACACAGAGAGTTTCTCTGGTTTGCAAAATTTTGATTTAAATGACCTCAGGTTTGGAACCATAAGCCTCAGTCCAGCCAGATATTAAGCATGTGTCTATTTACAGTTCTAGTAACACCTGAAACAGCCTGACATACAGCTTTATCCTGTAAACCCTCATAAGAAGCACCAGATGATGCTCATATGTGTGGATAATAACCCACTGAAGTTGAAAAATAGATATATATTTACTCAAATCCATCACTTTCCCTCTTTTTTATGACATGGGTTTCCTTGTTAGATCTATAGACAGCAAGGGGACTTTCAACATGAAACCTAATTTGCTTCAGCTGATGTCTCATGGCAAATTACCTTGTTGGAAACACTTGAGGCCAATGTATAAATAGACTGAAATCAATATCCCTGAGTCAGTCTGTGGAACTGTAACATGGTTGACATTGTCAAAATAGACTCCTCATGTGAGTCCATTTTTGCTCCTCATTCTCTTTGTATATGAGGAAAATATTCAGGAAAATAAATACCAGGGAATGATGCCTACAATGGAATAAGCCTCACTTAAAAGGTCAGAGTTTGATGTTTTATTCCCTTTTTTGCTTTTTTAAAGATCTGATTCTTGAGGTTCTCTTTACTCTGAGACAGAGCCACAAACAGACTTTGAATTTGCTTTTCCATTGTAAGCTTGAATAAGTTTGCCAAACCTTGAAAAGAAGGAAGAATTTAAGACTCTTCCCTATTATCCTCTTTGTTACCTTAAGTAGCTCCTTGCCTTGTTTACTGACTGCTGGAATTGCTGTTCAGAGAATCCTCACTCCCTGTCTTGCAATAAAGGGAGCCTGGACAGCCAAACCCCCTGGCCTGAGCTGTCTGATGTTCTGGAGCCACGTTTCCTCACCTGCACATTGCTGAGCCCCTCAGCTCCCACTGGATTCCCTCCTTTTTTCTGCCCATTCCTGTTCAGCAGGCAGAGCCAATTTAGGGTTGAGTAGGCTTCATGGGGAGGTGGAGATAATTGATGCCCAGGCAAAAATGCCCTTGATAGACATTCTTCAATTTGGAACCAGACAGGTGGGGACCTGACTGTCCTGCTGATGCTGACAGACCCACCTTGCCATCTTGCTGCTGCTAAAATATAAACACATTAAATTATGTATGCAAGAAATGGCACCTCATTTGTGTGCACACACAGACACACACACACACAAACACTTCAGGCAAATCTGTCTGTGCACTTGAGATAGACCCTATTTGTCTCAGTCCTGGAAATAAACAGGTGATTTTCCTTGTAAATTCAGCTGTGAGTGGTGAGGCTTTGCTTAACTGAAAGTCAGAGCTCACAATGGATTATTTAAAAACTTGTAATTATGGTGATACAACTCCTGTGCAGCAAGAGAGCTCCAGCACAATTGGGTTTGACAGCCAGGATCCAAAAGGTTTGAGGCTCCCAGGGAGCTCCGTACAAGAGTCTCCCATCGCTTCTGATTATGTTGTGTATCATGAAATCACTGCAAAAATACCATCCCTGAGGCAAGAACTGCACATTATACACAAAAGGTTAGTGCTGTGTTGTACTGAGGATGGGGGATGCCTCAGGAATTACTGCAGAGGGAGCTGAGGGATAAATTCCTACATGTCACATCACTGCAGCACCTGTGGTAAATCCAAGCTGAATTGCTCCTCAGTGTGAACTGTTCTTCAGGTGTACAGGAGGGTGAGAATATGCTCATGGTCAGCAGCTGACACTTGTGTCTTCACCCCTCCTGAGCCTGCAGAAACATGTTTGTTTCTATAAAGGCAGAAATAGAGAGGAAGGACTGCAGGCCACAGGCAAGGCTGAGTTTGGCTGCAGTTTCTCAGCTACGTGCTCAATTAATTAAGACTTCTAGGTGGGGTAAGACTGTGGGTTGGAGGGTGAAAGAATTCACTCTGCGTTACTCAGAACTACCTGGGAGGTGCTCTGTGAGTTTGCCAGAGGATCTTTCCGGAAAGAACAGACTCTCCTTCCAGCTGTGAAGAAAATAAGAGGTCTCAGAGAGGTTTGAGAGAGCTCAGAAAGGGGGAGGATTGAATCCTCTCCCAGCTCTTTTCTAGGCATGTGGTCATTCTTACACACCCTGCCTGTGCCTGCTTGCTGTCTGATGGGAACATTTTATTCCTTCCCTCCCAACACTGCTCCGTCAGCGTCCCTTGCAGCATCCTCTGCTGAGATGGAATCTCTGGTTCCTTAATAAATGAGTCTGGTCTCTCTTTTGATAAAATCTCCCTTTTTCCTACATCTTATCACTGCTGTTATGGAACAAAGAGATACCAGCAAGCTGTAGGTCAGTAAATGTTCTTTCATTCATCCATGGGATTTCAGCTCTCCACTTTTCTACCAGCTCTGCAGAGTGCTGTCAATTGCTGAGCCAAGGAGCTTCAGAGCTGGTGGAAAATGACCTTTTCCAAAGGCACTCCAAATTCTGAACAAATCTTTGTGCTGATTGTTTAACCAGTCCCATACAGAGCACTTCTCTTCCCACCCACCTCTTCCCATTCCTCCCTGAGTGTTTGTTCGTATTGAATCTGGGCTCTTCCAAAGTGACTCATTTACCCACAGCCATCTATTTTCCCCAGGAGCAGTTTAAGCTCTTGGGTTTTCTTTGTGATCCCCAAGTGTGGAGGGTAATTATTAAACACCTGTAGAAGGTGAAGGAAACTCCTGTCCCTGGATTTGTCTCATTTGATCTGGTTATTGGAGAGTTGACTGGAATGGAGAGTTCTGAGGGCTTTGAGGAGTAGCTGAGAAGGAACAGTAGGAAATACACAATCAGCTTTTCCATTTTCATAGATCTATCTATTTTAATATCTGAAGAGATGAGAGTGATCATCTAGTCTAACCTCCAGTATGGTAATGACTGAAGGACACCATCCAATAATTTCTGCATCAAAGCACACTGAAAGGCACTTTGTACAGGACTTTGAACAACCCCACAATTAGGTGATTTAGAATGTGGTGGTGACTTGGACTGTCCTTCCACAGGAGAGGATACACCTGTAAAAAACTCCCCTCTGCAAAAAGTCCATGTTGAGACAGCCTACTATAGCTGGAAGGGAAAAATCCTGGCTTGTTCTTCTGTCAGGCAGGAAGGGAAATGAACAGCTGGAGTAGTCCTGGGCACCCACCCTTCCTGAGCACTGCTGTGGAGCCAGCCTGGGGAGCCATGTGCCCTTGGTAATGCCTTTCCCAGGTCACAGATGTGAGAAAGAAGGAAGCCACTGGGACAAAGGCAAATGGAATGGGCAGATCTCCATAGGCTCCAGTTACTGCCTCAGCACTGGCAAGCTGGGGAGGACCAAACCCCACGGAGCTTCCATGGAGTTCTGCCTTGATCTGGGTCAATAATGTGCTGGACTGAAGGAGCAGCCCTGCAGCCTCACTGTGGCCACTGCTTTAAAGCAAGAGGCATTTTAGTATGGGAGACTGGATGTAGTGTGGACACCATGAAACAGAAAATACTGTAAAATAAGGATTAGGCTGCTGATAATGAAAATGAGAGGACTGGTGCTGCTGTATAAACAAAAAATCAGAAAATTCACTGGGAAGGTGTTGCTTTGGCTGAAAGATGTGTGGAGAACAAATTCAGAATTTGGAACAGACTGTGCTGTCTAAAACACTTCCAATTTGCCTTGAGAAATTTACCTGGTTTCCTCAGATTTCCTCAAAATTAGATGCTTAAAAATTTAAAGGTCAAAAATGCCCTTATGCTTTTCAGTTCAGCTAATAAAATTTTTTAAAATAAATCTTTTATTGCTTTAAATGTGGCTCAAAAGCCAGGGATTGCACAGTAGCTTTCAAAGTGCAGCAGGAGCCCTGGAACCCTTTCCTTGTCAGCCCTGATGTGTGTGTGGACAGCTCTGATCCACCTCTGCTTGGCCTGGAGCCACAGGAACACTTGGCTGCCTGTGCTCACTCCTGGTTTCTACTCTGCTTCTTCCTGCAATGCAGGAGAGTTGAAGAAATAAAAGTTGTTAAGATTCAATGCAAACTACAAAGGATAACAGTGCCAAACTCTTTGAAGTGAGTGAGGTTCCCTCACTGCTCCCAGCAGGGGTTGGAAAACAGATGTTGGTGGGTTTGCCTTTGGGATCCTTTTGGAACCCTCCCATTCTCTCACCCATCCTTCAGCGATCCTTCTGCAGAGGAATTGTTCATTAATTTCAGTTTTTTGGGGGCTGGAGAAATGCCTCACATGCACTGTGACCCCTGCTGGCAAAATGTTACATGGATACATTGGGAAGGTGCACTCAAAACAGGAGGGGAGGAATTACAGAGATATTTATGGAGAAATGCCTCACATGCACTGTGACCCCTGCTGGCAAAATGTTACATAGATACATGGCCTGGGAAGGTGCACTCGAGGGGAGGAATTACAGAGATATTTACAAAAATTTCTACCTGTATTTCCTATTCAAGTTTTATTCTGCCTCAAACATTTCAGCTTCAGTCCAAATAGCATTTAATTCACTGGGCAGTCTGGATACATGGATGTTTGGATGGGTGATAGATGAATTTCCTGGCTCTGTTCTATATCTAGGTTCATAATTCGACCAGAATGTGGTTGTACAAAATGCCAGCAGAAGAGAAACCTTCCTATCAAACACACACATACACTATTCCTACATCATGAGCTACAATATATTTAGTATGTAACTCTGCTCACTTTAATTAGGGGAATAGTTCATACAAACCAGAGAGAAAAAATAATTAATAGAAAAACTTTGTACTATTTAGTGATATCAGCTGCAGATCCTGAAAGGGTTTCCAAAGGGAGAAAGGCATCATTTTAGAAATGGGGGAAATGAAGGTAGAAGAGTCAGTTAGGTGGCCAGGATTCCCTGGCAGGACTGGGAAGAGAACAGCTGCCTTGTGCAGTTTGGGAAAGCATCTAAATCGCAGCCCTCCTGAAGTTAACACTGCATCAGGCACCTGCATCGTCAAACAAGTGCTTTGGAGTTAGGAGAAAAACAAAACTCTGATCTGCTCAAGCTGATAACAAAATTATCCTTCTTTCATTGGGAAGATTATGTGGATGGAGGGACTCAAACATCTGCATCGGATTTTTCTGGCTCACAGTCCCATGAAATGTGGATGAAGTTTTGGTGGGTCAGAATATGCCCTCAAACTTTACTGGCCTTTATTTTGGAGTCCAAGTTCCCTGTCTCCAGTAGATTCTTCTGGAGAGCCTGTTTGGTTTTGATTCTTATTTTAGTGCACATCAGGATGAGTTTTAGCCCTTAATACATAGCTTGTATCCCATGCAAAAAAGCTCCCCATGCTGAGGGGGGAGCCAACCTCGGAGTAAAAATTCTGAGTGAGTGTAGTATTTTCTGCTGAATTGTTATAGTCTGATTCAAACTGCCCTGGTCATATATTACCTTTGAAATATTTAATTTACCTACCAGGTGCAGTTCTCATGGAAGTACATGATACATGTAGTAGTAGTGGAAATACAGCAACATAAAATTCATTTCAAAATCCTTTTTAATGTTGAGCTTTCTGCTCCTATTAGGTAATGATTAATAGACACGGGGGGAAACATGAGCTTTTGTTATTTTCATCTGAATGTTAAGAGGTGCTTTGTGAAAACCATAATTTCAGGGACTGCTTTGTCATGGATGGTAGTTTGTTATGCTGATGAATTGTTTTAATTAGTCAGTAAAACACTATTTATGATGAAACATTTGACACTTAGAAAATTTGATCCTTTTTAGTTGCAGCACTATATGACCAACCTCTCCTAACAGAAATTGCCTGAAACATAGTTGGAAATTACATTTTATGAGGTTACCTTGAAAATTAACATATGCAATATTAATTTTATAGGTGTAAAGAAACCCATTAATTCATGTCTACAGTCTTAAACTGTAACAATAAATAATCGTAAAGGAAAAAATAATTGTTTCTGGGATGCAAAAAACCAGGAGACAGGCCCAGAGAGAGATCCCACCTTGCAGAAGTCTATTCTTCTTGTTCTGAGAGTAAAGAAAACAGGATTCCTGGCAATATTATTTCTCATGTCTCTCACTGAGGACTGAACAGTGCCATTACTGTGCAGTGCTGAGATGCAGAGGCCACAGAGCAAGCTGAGCTCTCAGGTGAAGCCTCACACGCCCAGCTGGCCTCAGACAGCATCCCCAGGAACCTCTATCCCTTCAAACCAGGAGTTAACCCATCTCCAGCCTTCCTTCTCCTCCTCTCCCTGTCCCAGCCTCCTGCTGTGGGAAGGTGGTGCCCAGAGGAAACCTCGAGGAAGAAAAATGCCAATAAAGATAAACATTTCATGCAGGAGGAACAGAGGGGTGCATGTTCCACCTAGGGATGCAGAGGGACTGGGCATTGTCCGCTCTTTGGGGCTCAATTCTCCTTTCTTCTTGCCTCTCCATGTGCTCTCACAACAGTGTGGAATTGACTGAATAGAAGTGAAAGCCAGAGGATTCATGTTGTTCATTATGCAGCGAAAAGGAACTTGACTCATTTCCCTGCACAGCTGTGACTTATTCCCAGGGCTCCTGTTAACTCCTGTCCCGAGTAAATCCCAAAGCTCCAGGTGCTGATCAGTTCTGGTCACTATGGCTGAATATTCCCTGAAAACTCTTCTTCCAAGGAGAGTTTTCCCTTCCAAAGCAATTCCGTTTCTAGCTGTGTCTGCTGGAAAGTTCTGCTGAGGTGGCACTCACTTTTAAAACACAAATGACAGTGGGATGGGATGGGATAGAATTAGAATAGAATAGAATAGAATAGAATAGAATAGAATAGAATAGAATAGAATAGGAATGCTGTGCCCTTGAACTCAGGTTTGTCTTCACAGCTCTCTTGATTGCATTCCTCCACCCACTGGAACTTCTCCTATCCCTGAACTTCTTTAGCTGGCTGCATTACAGCCAAATAGTGCAGCACATACCTGTCCTGCAGCTTGTAAGGATTAATGATGTGGTTGATGCCAGTAATCCAAGTCACACTGATTTGAGAATGGAAGAGCATAAACTTCAAGGTGTAAACTACCCAGTGCTGTGGCAGTTCCCAGATGTTTGGAAATGCTGGGCTATTTAGCACCAGATTCTCTATTCATGTCCCAAATTATACAGCTGCTCATATCCACCACTCTGAAGAGTTTCCAAGCTTGTCCTGCTCATAGTGTGACACGTGAAATGTTCTGGGCTGTGTTTTTCCTTCCTGCCCACATCTCATTAACATCTGTCTCTTCGTTAGTTGCCATCCTCTGTCTGGGGAGTGCAGCTGCAAGGCTGGCTGGGCTGGGCTCTACTGCAACGAGACGTGTCCCGTGGGCTACTACGGCGAGGGCTGCCAGGTGCCCTGTCCCTGCCACAACGGGGCCGACTGTGACAGCATCACTGGCAGCTGCATCTGCGCCCCAGGCTTCATGGTGAGTGGGGCTGGGCATGGGGAGGGCTTTCATAAAGTGGCTGCAAAAAATAAAAGAGGGGTTTATTCTGATTTGAAATAATATTTGCATCAAAGCAGCCAAACGTGTGTCATTTTTGGCCATTCTGTGCTAAGTCCACACTGCTGTCCTCTGGGCAGTGTCAATCTGTGGCTGCTGGTTGTTTAGTTAACATATCTGTTCTAACTTTATTACTGTTATAAAGATAAAGATATGCTTTCCCATAGTATATTCTAAGTCAAGACGTAACAAAAAAGATGTCAGATTATTGTCTGCCTGGAAGAGCAGAGAAAGAATTCTCATGGCCATTCAGCATGTTCCTTGTCAGTCACACCGTGATTTTAATAGATGAAGATATTTTAAAATGTTACAAATGATAGAGCAATTTATGTCTTTTCTGAGCCTATGTGGCAGGTGTCTTTTACCGAGCATCAGAAAGAGCTTCAGACATTCTGAGGTAAACAAGCATTGCATTTTATCGTTGAGATGTAAAATGGCTGAAGAAACCAGCCAAGATGAAAACATCAAAACTTCAGAGTTAACAATTGCCAGGCTGCAGCAGAAAGTATTGGGAAATGGATCCAGGAGTCCAGTCCCGCTAAGGCTGGGAAGAATGGAATTCTTGCCAGAAGTTCCCTGGTTATCTGTAGATGAAGCTCCTCCTCTTCAGGAGCACACCACAAAGGAGAAATGCAGGCTGTGTTTAAGAAACTATACTTCCTAAAGGAAAAAAAAATACTTTAAAGAGAGAATTCCATCAAACTTCGCAAAAAGTTGGCTTTCTCTGTCCTTCATTCTACATGATCTGTCCCCACAGGCCTATCTATGTTTTCTGTGCTATTATAACAATTATGAGTTATAATTACTAAGTTCACTAGAAATCAAGGGACAGGCTGCACAGTTGGGACAGATCCGTAGTGGGGAGGTCCTGTATGAGATTAGTGGGATGCCAAAGACTTTTTTGCCTCTCTTCATTCTAATTCTACACCTGATCTTGTGATCTCCAACTGGCATCAGCAGAGCTGTGCAATTTCCAGGAGTTGTCTCAATGCCAGGTATTAACAGATTTATTTAGGTGTGAGGGGCTGGACTCCAAAGCATCTGTGCAAGATAATGGTACTTGGAGATGGGGGAGGGAGAAATAAAGGTCTTTGAGTTTGGTTCCCAACTCCACAAATAGAAAACAAGAATTTATCTTCTCTATACAGTAGTTGATACACAAGTGGAGGAAGGAAGAAGGCAGCAGCATGTTAGTAACAGCTACAAAATCAAATGATGCCAAGATCCTCCTTCTTATTAGGAATGCTCTAGTTGATACACAAGTGGAGGAAGGAAGAAGGCAGCAGCATGTTAGTAACAGCCAAGATCGTCCTTCTTATTAGGAATGCTGTCCAAATTTGCAGCACAAAAGCGTTTAGGGACTCTTTACTGTACACATTTTAAAAAAGCATACCTTGTCCAATATACATTGCCCCAAGGCAGCATTAGTGGAGGCAGAAAGCCTGGGAAGTTCCTATTGCATTGCTTCAAAATAATATTTAATCTCATAATAAAGAGCTTTCTTGCATTGACATTTAAACAGCTTGGTTATTGAGGATAGCTCTATAATCACTGAAGCATATTTAGGCATTAGTATCATTGCTCTCACATAATATACTATAATCTCTGGCAATTAGTCCATGAGGGGAAGTAAAGCCTTGAAATTGCTAATTTATTGCCTCTGAAGCATATTTGTCATTCGTGTGCATGCCAGATGAGCTGCAATGGTTCTTTCAAGTGCTGCAGAACACAGTCTGTGCAGGAAAGTTGCTGGGAACCTTCCCCTCCCACCCCAGGGTGTTATCCTGCCAGGATGCTCCGGGCAGGGAGGAGGGAGCTAGAAAAGGTTGTGGGGCCAGAACCAGGCTGGAAGTGCCTTATCCCAATGACACACTCCAAGCCAGGTTTTCCCTTCAGATATTCCTGCCTGGCTCTTGCTGAGGCAGCAGGGGAGCTCTGCCTGGGGGTTGAGCTTTGCCCTTGAATTGGGCGAGGCGGCGAGCGCCGGTTCCGAGCTCAGGATGTGTCCTCTGGCAGAGCTGGCAGTGCAGTGCTGCTAACGCAGGGCTGGGCACAGCTAATTATTCACAAAAGCCAGAAATTAATCCCTCTTGCTTTTTTGAGTGTGAGGCTTGGCTGAGGCAGCCACACGGGCAGGAATTTTGCCACATAATTGGAAAGAATAAAACCAGGAGCAACATCTTACATTTTAGAGCAATGTTTGATCTACACATGACACTACGGCAGAGCAGTCTGAGGGGCTGCTCAGGAAGGGGGAAAGGAAGGAAAAATGGAGGGAGATAGGATATAACTACTGAATTTATCTGCAAAGGGAGAGGGGTTGGACCCACAGGACGTTAGGATTATTGGACTGACTGGAATATGCAGTGCCCAAGGAAGGACAGTGTTTTCCTGACAAAGCACTCCTCCTGCCCACTCCTCCAGCACAGATGGTGGGTTTTTAACTCGCCCTGCCTGTGTCAGGACAGCTGGGCTGGGTTTCAGGATGAATCATCTGCTCTCGTAGCCAAAACAGGGACATTTTGTTGGGATGCAGAACAAGCCATTAAAAACACAAAGCATCTGGTCACCTTTATTAAATGTATTAAGTGAAAAGGCAGCCATCCCATAGGCTGCCATGTACGTGAGCAGAACACTTAATTGTTGAAAATTCAAGAAGATGCAAGTTGTAAAATAAAAATGTATATGGTAGCTTAAAGAAAATACATTATTTATTAGCTGTGACATTTCCAAAAATTAAAATGCCCAAGCTAAATAGTGGTGAGCTTGCAGTTTAGGATAGAGTTTCAAAACATCTTCTGTCTTATTTTTTTCTGCAAATGTTTTGGGGCAGACTCAAGAGCAGATTTGCATATGTCTGGCTCCAAACCCAAATGACAATGTTGTAGAGCTGTTATTGGGTATCAGGGTATTTGTGTGAGGTGCTGCTGTGATCCCCTGGGGGGATGGCTCTGTTTTACCTCTGCGGGTTCTGAACCACCTTGCAGACCTGGGTATGGATTTGGCTGAGGCATCCACAGCCCAAACCAGGCAGTTCTTGGAGGCAGCACGCAGGGCAATGAAAACAGGATAATAGTAGAGGAGACACAATAAAATCCTCCCCAAAATCACAGACCTACTCCCCATTGCTCCACAGGCTTGTTGGGAATGCTTTGCTTCCTGCATCCCACTTGTAAAGGAGGATAAAGGCTGTATCAGTTTGACTCAGATGATTGCAGGGAATCATAATTACAAGGACACCAAGAGGGCACTTCCCTCCAACTGGGACTTTTAACATATTTGAGGGTTTCCTCTTAGCAGTGAAGTGATGAATTGCCAAAATGCTTTTCTGAAGAATGGTTCTGTAAAGCTGTTCTGCTGCCATCTCATTTGTGACCAGAAGGAACCTGGCAAACACACACAGGGAGTGCACAGATCAGCCCTAAAAAGCACCAGGGGAGAGTCTTGAATGGTAGAAATTGGATCCTCGCTCCCATGTGGAAATGGCTGCTGCTTGCAATAAATTATCTGGATGCAATTATGGGGATGGTGAGGGGGGTTATACTAACTTGTACCTCCCCCTCCTTCCAAATTCTGCTCCAACATGTTCTCCTATAAGTCCACTGAACTCAGGTGTGCAGGAGGGACATAAAAGAAAGCAGGACTTGCCATGTCCTCTCTCTCTTCTTTTGTTTTTGGTTCATTGAATTTTATTCCCGTAATTCAATAAACGTGGTGGAGAAGGCCAGAGGATATGAATTAAATATGACAGGAGACCACAGGAATCCTGACCTTGTGTCTCACAAGAAAATCTTGAAACCAACCCCCTGCACATACCTATCAGCATTTTAGCTGCTGAAATCATTATAAATGCTATTTAGATACAAGTAACCTCACCTTCTCCATTGCACAGCTAATTGCAGCTTCCCTGAAAGCAGTGGCTATCTAGAGACCTCATCCCGTGCTATGCCTTTGTTTCTTTATGGATTCTTTGTTTTCTTCTTTTGAAAAATGGGTTTAACTTCAAATGCTTGCATTCTGTGTGTTGTGGCAAGGAGAGATGTAGTTAAAACATTTCTCAGCCCAAGACACTCCAAGAAAACTTTTAACACTTCTCTGTGGAACGTGTGGTCAGCTTTTACTTCGGCGGGCACTTAGGTCTATATTTCACATCCAGATGACAGAACTTATATTACTTTAAAGAGTTCATCTATTTATGCTGCTATTTTTTGAAGACCTGTCTGCTTTTATTGAACCCTGCATGCTGGCAAGCAGAGCAAGCACTTCATCACCAAAATGAAAGAATCCATTTTGACATTTCTCTATTTCTTCACTATATTGGTAGATCCCACACAAGCCAATCACATGCTGCAAAGTATGGAAACTACAGCAGTGGTGATCTCTTACTAGAAGAATTTTCAGCTTTTGGAATGGCTCTTGGATTCCCTAAAGCTTTCCAAGATTTATCCCAGTGCTGTGCATCTATAGGTATTTGCATCTTCTGTTTGCATTGTATCAAAATTGCATTTTTAAAGCACAATTAATGCCTTTCAAATATATCCTTATAGAGGTGCTTATGTGTATGGATCTCTGGCTGGGCTCAGTGGGAATCTGGGCACTTAAGTACTGAGACACAGGCATCATTTGGGTCTGTAAGTCCATAATTTTGTCTGGCATGCCTGAATTTCTCAACATAATGCTTTCTCTACCATAGGGGTACAAATTGTTCCCAGGGTTTACATCAGAGTAAAACTTTACAACCTACCTGCACACTGAGTAAAAGTCAGCCCTTGTAGCACACAATGAACAGTAGCTTGAGCACTTAGTAAAATAAGTATAAATTATAGTGCTGTAAAGCTATTCAAATGCACAGCAAATGCACACCAAATTTTGCAGTGAATAATCTCTTGGTCAGTACAAACACCCACACGCAGACTCAGACC